GTTGCAGTGAGCCGAGATCACACCATTGCACTCCAGCCTGGGCAACAAAAACGAAACTCCATCTCAAAAAAAAAAAAAAAAAAAGCATACAAATAGACAAAATATACATATAAATACATTAAAATGGAATTACATGTATTGTTCTCTTGAAGGTAGTATATACCCGTAAGAAACCACACAATACAGAAGTGGTCAGCGTGCATGTCCCATGTGTCTAAATCTCATCCCACACCCTAGAGGAAGATTGTGTTTGGTTTCTCAACACTTTTCTCTGTGAGTTCAGGGGGTTTGCACATGGGACAGGGGCCTGTGGCTGATGCTACTAATCAATCCAGGCACTCTTACATCTGAGACTTGATGGAATGTCACAATCCTTCTTGGACAGTGCTCTGGACAGTCAGTTGGAGCTAGAACACAAGATCACATCTGTTGGCCATTCCTGTAACTTTGTCTTTCCATGATTTTAGATGGGTAGGTAGGCAGATAGATAGATAGATGGATGGATGATAGATAGATAGATAGATAGATAGATAGATAGATAGATAGATAGATAGAATCTCCCTCAAATGAGTAAGTAGGCAGTGTGCATGTGAGTCCTTGAAAGTCTAAGAAAAGGCCAGGCACGGTGGCTCGGGCCTGTATTCCTAGCATTTTGGATGGCTGAGGCGAGTGGATCACCTGATGTCACGAGTTCAAGACCAGCCTGGGAAACAGGGTGAAACCCCATCATTACTAAAAATACAAAAAATAGCCGGGTGTGGTGGCAGGCACCTGTAGTCCCACTACTTGGGAGGTGGAGGCACAAACAAGAACCACTTGAACCCAGGAGGCGTAGGTTGCAGTGAGCTGAGATCATGTCACTGTATTCTAGCCTGGGTGACAGAGCGAGATTCTGTCTCAAAAAAAAAAAAAAAGTCTAAGAAAGGTCTTTTTTTCTCCCTGACTTCCGTCTCCATCTTGACATATGAATGATCATTCACATATGAAAAGCTTAAGTCAGTATTGTATTTGTGTCAAAATATTTTCCCTTACAATTTGTAGATATGCCTTTTTAGTTTTCTCAGAGCGTTTAGTGCTGGAGGAAACTCTGATATAAAGCTAGTCCTTTTGTTGATACTCCGATTTTCTGTCTGGCTGTTTGCCATTCCAGTTGTTTTTGAATGCCCCTGGCTGAGCGTCCAAAGGCTATTTGGGTCTGAGATTTTTGAGCTCCTAAGGCAGTGACAGAGTGTGAGGGGGCCTGAGAATGCTTCGATCCTCCCTGTACACTTTTTTTCTTGGTGTCCTATGGCATGTTTTATAATTGATCTGTTCAAAACCCTTCTCTTGTTTTATTTTACTTACGTTTATCTCCATTCCTGCTCCCTTCCTCCTCCTCCCCAAGAGACAGTTTAATGTGTTTAATGTGTGTCCTTTTAAAAAATGTGTTATTGGGCCAGGTGCAGTGGCTCACTCCTGTAATCCCAGTACTTTGGGAGGCCAAGGCAGGCGGATCACCTGAGGTCAAGAGTTCGAGACCAGCCTGGCCAACATGGTGAAACCCCATCTCTACTAAAAATACAAAAATTAGCTGGGCGGTAGTGACACGCACCTGTAATTCCAACTACTTAGGAGGCTGAGACAGGAGAATCGCTTGAACCCAGGAAGCAGAGGTTGCAGTGGGCAGAGATCGTGCCACTGCACTCCAGCCTGGGCGACAGAGTGAGACTTCATCTCAAAAAAAAAGCAAATAAGCAAAATAACTTAGTAATTTTAATATTGGCCTGAATATTATATGTTGTCAAAATTAATTTCACCTATTTCTTTTTGTTTTTTAAAGTATGGATGCTAGCACATTTTATGTTAAGTAGTAATAGTACAGGTAGTACAAGAAGATGTCAAAATGTTTGACTGTTTTGAGACTGACTGAGGTTCAGTTTATTATTAATAGTTGGGACGGAAATAGGCCTACACGAAGTAAGGGATTTATCCAGAGAGCATGGGTTCAGGTTCTTCCCTTGCAAACAACAGAAACCAATTCTGCTGATAACTTGTCCAAAAAACGAAAAACAAACAAACAAAAGAAGCTCTCGGGATCGGGGCAGGGGGTGCCCTCTCAGCATCAGGAGCCCGCAGCTGTTTGCCTCTGGCACTTTTCCCTTTTCTCCTCTCTGTGCCGTAGGCGTGCCAATTCCCAGGAGAGAGACGTGATAGGCCCAGCCTTTGACACGTGGGGGAAACACAGGCCTGTGATTGGCTACCGCATGACACTCAAGGGACAATTGCTACGGCAACGCGTGGGCGCGCTGTGGGCTCGTAGAAGCCAGGTGGGGACGCTGGACAGGCGAAGACCCGAGATGTCCTTTGCAAGGGTCCCAGAGCCCGTCAGTGGCTCAGTCATTCTCACTCCCAGATCAGTGCTCCTCCACACATGCGATGGCTTTTAATAAAGATTTCAGTCACCCCACTTCTACAGTCTCTGCCCTTCCAGGCTCCACGTGCTCCTGGGTTCGTTCGGGTCGTTTTGGTCCCATAACTTTGGGCCAGAGGAGATCTGGATTTGGGCACGGAGGGAGATCAAACTCGGGTAGGATATCCAGTCATGCTCTCTGCTTTGTTTCCAGGGGTCTTCAGGGCTCCTCTGCCCAGGGGCCAGAACCGAGGAGGCAAGGAGGGCTGCTGGGGCTAAGGGGCCTAAGGACCTCGTTGCCAGCGGTACACACCACCAGGAGCAGGGGCATGGAGCACAGTGAGGGGGCTCCCGGAGACCCAGCTGGTACTGTGGTGCCCCAGGAGCTGCTGGAAGAGATGCTTTGGTTTTTTCGTGTGGAAGATGGTAAGTGATGAGAGATTGACGGCAGGGGTCGGGGTGTGCCCCTCAACACAGAGCAGAGTTTAGCTGAAGGCCCTGACACTGTCGCCCCCTCCAGGTCAGGCGGCACATTTCCTCCAAGACAGGGACTCAGTCTGGGGTGTCTCAGTACCCAGAGGGGTCTTGCTGGACCGCCCCTTCCTTTTCTCAGGGTGTGGTCGCTTATTTACGCAGCCCTCCAATCATCACCACATTTATTAAGCTCCTACTCTATACCAGACAGTGTTCTCAGCACTGGGGCGACAATAGTGAATAAAATACGATAAAAACCTCTGCCTTCATGGAGCGTACATTCTAGTGGGGATTAAAAATAAACAACTAAAATGCATAGTGCATTGGTGATGAATAATAAAAAGAAAAATTAAACAGAGAAAGAGAATAGGAAGTATGTAGCAAGGGCAGTAATGTGGTCAAGGAAGGCCTCACTAAAAAGGTAACATTTTTATCATCAGGAAGGTGACTTGCAGGAAACTAAGGAGTTAGCTATGCAGATTATTCGGGGGAGGAACATTCCTGGAGGGAGGACAGCAAATGCAAAAGCTCTGAGGCTGGACCCTCCTTCATTTTGGTACAGTATGGACAAATCTTGAGTATCCACATTCAGTTTAGTTACTTTATGTATTCTCTGTGGGCAGCTGCCATTCCTTCCACCCTTCTCCCTGCCTTCTTTCTTTCTTTTTTTTTTTTT